GGCAGCGGGGCGGAGCGGCCGCTCCCGGGAACCGGAGGTGGGCAGAGGCGTTGCCCGCCTCCATCCGCGCCGTTGTTCCGCCTTTTTCTCCGTCTGCCCCTTCTCGTGGGGTCGGGCGGAAGACGTCTCTTGTTTTTCCTTCAGTCTGTCGGGATACAGGTGTTCTCGACCTCTGTTACATCTTACTGTTTTCGTTACCTCACCTCTTTATTTCCTATAGCAGTACCTACTTCCTTCCTGGGTCAGTAAAGTGGTTTGCTTTGCGGCAAAGTCTTTGCTTTACTAGAGGGGGGCCTGAGCTTTTTCCAGTTGGTAGTAGGGTTTTTTCCCGGCCTGGACTTGACTTAAAATTGTTTTAAGCACTGTTATCCTTGATACGCGTTATAGCACCTCTAGCATTCCTATAATAGCACTAGTACTTTCCTTTCTTTACGTAAAGCCTCTTTTACGCCAGTCTGCTGCCTCCCTTCTGGGGAGAGAATCTCCTTAACAGCTCCTGTATGCGTTCACCAGCCTGGCTTGAGCCTACTAGCGTAGTCTCCGTCTTGGTCGGCAGGAGAAAATGGTTTAAATTGCATTTTCTCAATGGCGCTACCATAAAAAGAACGGAGTATGTTTTTATCACTTGCTAAAATGCATTCTGAAGTAAAAACATCCCCGTTATGCATAGATTGGGAATACATGTTTTTGGATAATAGATAACGTGATCAGTCATGAATCCTAAACAAATCAACACCAAACAAGTATTTCTAGATGGATGTGTTCATCGCTCGTTCTGAGTGGAGGAGCTTTTGAGCATGGCTCTTGTTTCCTTTTATTGTCTTTTTTAAAAACAGTGCCCAGCATTAAAAAAAAAAAAAAACTTACTGTGACCTTTCCAAACTTTGAAATGTTTGTAAACACGTTGTGCAGTTTCAGGTACAGATTTTAAAACTGATGAACGCAAGACAGAGCAGACTCTACAGCGTTCTTTCATAGATGTAGAATTCATTCGAATATGAAGTTATGCACTGTAAACTGACTTCTATCATATTGTTTCAGTTCAGCAACCTAAACAAGGGTTTTCATGGCCATTCCAGTTATGTCGTTACGGAAAATGACCTATTGATACAGGCTGGTTTTCAGAACAGAAGGATTCTTACTTCCCTTTATGCTTGTGGTTCTTTAGAGAGCTTTTACAGAATGATATTAAAGTTTAGTATTTGGAAATTTTATCTTTTAATAAGGGAAGAAAAGTTTTCTAAGGTGTGTTTTCATGTATTGCTTTCTAAATAAAAACACTCAGGTCTCTTTTTTTGCAATTAAATTATACAATTTAATGTATCTGTTCTCAAAAGCTGAGCTTTGTTTGTTTGCTTGTTTTTCCTCAGAATCCTATGCTGGAGACAAAAGTTCTTGTGCAGAAAATGCTAGCTCGGTGAACTTGACAAGTTCTTCTGCGCAGGGCTTGAATAGCACATGTGTAGGAAAAACGCCCCTCTCTTCTACTAGATCTGTTTGCAGAAGTCATACCCCTCTTATGGAATACTCAGGTAAAATTGACGTTCTTACAGGAAATCGTCTTAGTTACATCTCTAACGTTGTTTTCTTACCTGCACTGTATTTTTAAGCATGATACAGTGAGATATTGAGTATTTTCAAAACACAAAGCATAATGTTTATTGTTAATTGTACTGCTTAGGATGCCTGCCGATGAAAGATGCACGCTTTAGGGAAAAATATTATTTCAGATGCTGAATAGATAAATCTCGGCACTGCAGTCTCATCAGTTATTTTGTGTTCTTATGGAAATCATTGATGTAGTTAGAATTCATATTTTTTCCTCGAATTGTCCATTTGTGGACATGCAGGGTTCTGTCGTGACTTAAACTGAAGAGCCCAAATTACGTATAGGCACCATATTTCCTAATTTGCCAGGGTTTCTTTTTAGGCCTGTAACGTGCTGTGCGTCAGATATCATGATGTAATTTTCAAGGTTCTTGATGTAAATTTTATGCATTTTCTATTGCAGTCTTTGAAGAGAAGCACTTCTGTGTTGTTGAAGGTAGCTGATAGCAGGCATATGGAGAACTAATAGGACAGCATGTTTTTTGTTTTTTGTTTTTTAATCTTGAAGATGTAGAACAGTAGCTCTGTAGAAGAACATTTACACAATATTTCATGGGTGGACATTTTGCAGCGCTTCTTATGGACAAAGTTGTATTACAGGGTAAGGATGGCCGTACATCTGTATGGTCTGGTAGTGTAGAAGTAATGGGACTCAGAGTCCTTTCACAGTCTGATTTACCTGTGTCAGTTAAACCTTTTGTGACCTAAACCAAGTGAATTATGAAGAAATTGCTTTAAAACCACCATTTATCTGTTCCTGGTAAGACTAAGAATTGGGTTGCCACTTGGTACTGAATTGAATCTTGGTCATCTTTTTTTATTGCAAAATTTGAGTAACAGGAAGTATGTCACTTCCTACAGCTGTTAGGATCCACTGTTTTCTTGGTGACTGCTCAGAGAGATCAGAATGACCATGACCTTGAAACCCACAGAGCAGGTTTCTCTAGTCCTAACACAGTCTAAGAATGAAACAAAATCACGTCTTTTGTCTCATCTGATTTTACTTGTATGTGTGTGCGCGCACATGCGCATGTATGTGTTTGTGTATTTATACTTGTGGTATTATATGTGATGTTCTTTGGTCAATCTTTCATTGTTCTGTTTTGTTGAAGAGAGCATATCCAGGGTATCGTGTTTGGAAGAATATTGATCAGTCGTTATGGGTTTTTTTTTTTTATTTAGAGTGTGGCACAAACTGAAAAAATAACCATCTTCTAAGTAACGTTTGTGGTGTAATTACTGTACTTAATTTAAAATATTCATTATTATCTGCACCTACAATTACTTTTAGCTGCTGTTAAAAGAAGAGTGGTAGTACGGTCAGGTACTGATCATGGGGAAAACCATCGAGCGTCCCGAGTAGAACATGCAGAAAAACAATTATTTTTTTCAGCAGGCCTCAGATGAAGCTGAAGTGTTTGAGCAACTCAAGTCGCTCAAACAAAGCAACCTTTAATCTTCAGGTGTTAGATAAACTCTCAGCTCTGACTCTGATCTTGCTCTTTGAGATTCTTGGCAGGATTAGTTTTGAGTCTCAGGGTACAAATTGAGTATACCCAGAGGAAAATGACGGGTTAGTGTATTGTAGCTTTGGAGCAGGATCATTCTGTTCTGAGAATACTCCCAGATTCTGTTGCTTTCTGAGAGCAAATTCTCTGAAGAATAAGGAAGTGTAATGGTAGAAAAGAATATAAATAATTACCACAAAGCAGGTAGAGGTTTTTAGTCTTGCAGAATGCAAGTTTGTATTCAAATAAGACTGTGATAGACATATTGTAGAATTCATCAAGAAGATGAATTTTAGTTATTTTATGCCCAGTTTTGTCTTAGATAAATCGTGTCCTAGAACATTTTACTACACACTACAACAATATATTGATTGGCTCCCACCACACGTCACGCCGACTGCTGTTCACTGGCAGTTTGAGGACTTAGTTTTTCAAGATTTTGGAAACTTGGCAATTGAAATGCATTATGTGTATAAAATGCTGCTATTTAACAAAATGCTATCTAATTTAATTATAGTGATGTTTATTTTTAAACAATTGGTGTAGCATCTCTGATAAATACGTAAGAGGAAGATAGTAAGGTAGAAGGGGAAACAATCAAGTGCTGACTTGAAAAAGAGATAGGTGAAGATGTAACGTTTGATAAAAAGATTGATACAAACATTAGTTGGTGCCACAAAAGCAGCAAGGCATCTTTTCTAGCAAATAAACTAAAGCACACAGACTCTTCAAGAGTTCTGGGGTTTCCCCATGATTATTGTTCTTCTTCCAAATTGCTTACTCTACCAGTAAATATGTCTATGCTGTCAAAATCCAATATGCTGTTCAGATGTTCTTAAAAGTGTAAATACAGCATGCCT